GAAAATCAATATAAGTGCGACCTATTTTATTAAGCGATTTTTTTATTTTATATAATTCCGATATTGCTCATATATCATAATTACAAATTAGTGTAGCGCTGCCTCATTACGTAACAATACATTAACTTTAATTTTTTTTTAATAATGTTTAAACGGTCACAAACGGCCATTTCTAAACATATAAATAAGGTAGGGTATCTAAAGAATAATGAATCAGTGAGGTACTTAATTAATGATAAAAGTTTAGTTTTAAGAGTCATTAATTTATTGTTAGCAAAATTTTATCATTACCGTTAAGCATCAGCATGGAGTGAATAACGGAGTTACAGCAAAATACTCCGGATTTGGTAGCTAAGCCACTGATCATAGAAATAGAAAGACAATGCACAGTAATTTCTGATTTGCTAGTTTAAGTACGTAATTTACGTACATACTTACAATCATCTGCTTCAAGGCGCAGTTTTATAGACAACAGTTTCGCTTTCGAAAAGGTCCGATCATAACCAAAATAATTTTGGTTGTTCTCTGAGTATCTACTTCGCTTAGACACGTAATAAAGTTTATGACTTTTTTTGTACCTGAAATCATATAACTGAAGGTATGAAAAACTTCTATCAAAATTTAAATATTTTAGCTAAGCGTAAAATCATGAAAATATAATTTATACAAGGGGTAAATTTTCCCTTTGAACGTATTTTTTACATAGTTAACATAGTTATTAAATTGGTTTTAATCATAAACTGTAAAAAGTTAATTATATAAAAGAAAATGCCAAGTCAAGAACATAATCTGGTCGGGGAAAGGCAAGCAGCCACTCAAGGTGTACCAGATCTTGATAACCTCGTACCTGATTCCGTGTCTAATCATAAAAAAGATGTAGAGTTTTCTGAGTCCAGAATTACAACGGTAAATATTGTTTAAACCATTTATAATTTTATATTTTTATTCATTATTTATCATAATAATTTACTATTCCTTGATAATTTTCTTCACAATATCATTGTTTTTCATCTAATTTTCATACTTAATATATCAGGAAGAGAAAAATGACAATGCATCTCAAAAAGATACACCAATTAAAAACCAATATAATCAAACTCGAGATACAAACGCACAAAACACTGAACCAATGGATTGGACGCCAACAAAATCAGATGGGTCCCTTCCTTCTCCTGTGCGATCGCGATCGCGATCTGGCTCCGAATCACCTTCTCCTAATAAGTCGGTTGCTGTCAATTTAATTCCGCTTACCGATTCGATTACATTCACTTCTAAACACTTGCTGTTTACTCCTGATCAGGAGATGAAGGTGGGTAGAGTGAGTGGAAGTCGTAATCAGAAAGAAGCAAGAGCGGATAATGGTGTGTTCATTTGTGATGTTATGTCTAGAGAACATGCGATTCTTAAAGAAGAGAACGGAAAGGTAAAAAATAAAATAAATAAAAAACCTTTTTTTGGGGGGTTTTATTCATATACTGATTATTCGACTTTTAATCATTTATAGATTTTAATCAAAGATACTAAAAGTACTCATGGTACTTTTGTAAACAACGTTAGGCTGGGAGATGGTACAAAGGATAGTGAATGGCGAGTGCTACACCATGGTGATGTTATCACCTTTGGACATAGTGTGAGACGTAATCAAAGTAATTAATAGTTCCATTCTTAATTTCGTTTTTTACTACATTTTTATTAAATTTATTTAATCTAACATGTATATTATAGATTTGTACAAGCATTTATCTGCTTGCGTTTTTTATCCTAAGGGAAAAAATGATGTACCTCATATACCAATCTCCCTCAATGGTAACTCAGTAATTGGACATGCTATAGATTCGGCGAAAAACCAACCTGATAGACTTGAGGGACAAACTTCTTCCGGTGCCATGACGAACATAGCACGAGTCCAAAATCCATCTATAGAATCTTCTCCAAAAGCTACGTCATTAAAGTACGTTTCATAACTTTATTTATTGCGGTTTAATTAATTAATTAACTTTGTACGTGTATATATATATTTTCTAGTAAAGAAGGAAAGACAGCAGAGACTGAATCAAATAATATAGTCCAACAAGCGGACGATGATCAAGTAACATCTGTCAATGATGCTTCAACTTCTGATAATGGCAAAAAAGGTTCTACCGAATCCAAATCGCATGAATTAGAACATACTGAATCGTCTGAAGGAGGTAAATATTAATTATCTTCAATTTGATGGTTTCATCATTATTATACCTTTTAATCTTTATGTGTTTTAAGTTAATCGTGTAGAT